TAATAATGTGTGTTTTTCTTTACATTTTTATATTTTTTAAATTTTGAAATTGGTGCATCTTTGGAGCAGTAAAAATGCTTCGATTTTGAACTTCAGTATCTTGTTTGGTGGGAGAGTGAATCTAATTGGTGAATTGGGAAGGTTAAAATTCCCATTTTGGTATTTGGTGTAACTTTTCAAAAATTTTCAAAATATTTTGACATGTTTTGAGCTGTTTGTGGGCATTTTTAGTTTATTTTCTAAAAATGTTGATAAAATTGTATTCGTTGTTATATTAGGTTTTTAAGATTTACAAAATTAAATGATAATGTATACATTTAATATTTATTATTTTTAGTTCATATAATAATTTATTATTTTATATACAAATAAAATATACATTAAATTAATAAATTTGGTTAAAAAAAATGAAACGTTTAATGCATATATTGGACATTTAAAATCATCTGGACACTTAATTTAATATTTTAAGGATTTATTTGTGACTCTGATTTCGAACAAAGTATTCATGTAGCTTCTAAAGTTGTTGGGCCATTAATAATTATAGTCGTGGCAGATTTCATCTAACCAGTCATGGTGGAATCGCATACAACATTTCGGATTAAAGCCGGATTATATGGACCCAAATTCACAAAATTGGACAATGGCTTCACTTGTTTTCCCTCCCTCGTTACTACAATACTACCCTCTAGGTAGTGTTAGGAAGTAGATGATTTTTGAAGATCTGATGTAAATTCAGCCTTTATCAGAAAAATTAGTTGAATTGTCTCTGACTATTTAGTTGACACATATATTTCCTCAAGCTCAACTTTTCCGCCCTCACTGTGGGCTATGAATTCAATTGATTCAGAAAGTACTACCAAGTACCAATGCACGTAAATCATTTCATTCGTAATTTTCGAGGAACTTTAGTAGTGCACATCCGAATATTTTTATGTTCAAAAATGTTATAAAAGAAGTACAAACAAATACGCACATTGCTGTAAGCAGTATAAACGAAATTGAAAATATTACCAATCGCATAGATTTAAACAAATCTATGTTTTGTTATAAACTTGATGTGGTACGTCGTAAAAGTTGTTAAAAGTGTTCAAAAAGTATAAAAACTAAAAATTAATATTTTAAAATTAACAATCAATATCTATATTTACATTATTCAATATAGATTTAAGAATTGAACATATTTTAACGACCAAAAGAGGAAAAATATGTATAGATATCGAACAATACAAGTACACGGAATCAAATAAATTACAAGATGGAACATATCGATTTCGTTGTACAAACAAAAAATGTAACGTAAGTGTCTTAACAGATAGTAATGTAAAAAATATAATAGAGATGAAAACACAGTTACATTATAATGATCCTAGTACAAAAAGATCTCTAGCTGTAGATATAATTAAAAGTGCTTCTAAAAAGTAGTTTCTGTGAATTTTTACACTAAATTCTGTTTTCGAAAAAATCGATTTTGGTTTTTGGTTCAACTCTTAAACAAATGACCGTAGGTAAATGAAATTTTGACTGAATGTTTATATTAGAATTTTCTATACACGATAACATTTTCAAAATGTTTTAATTTATTTTGAACTGTTTAGGCACATTTTCATTTTCCATTTTTTTTAGTTTTTTTTTTCTAAAAATATCAATAAAATTTTATTTGTTGGTTAAAAAAGCTTGAAAATTGAATACAAGGCTCCTACTATATTGTTACAATGGGATTTGAAAAATATTAAAAATCCTAAGTCACAGTTTTTTTTATAAGCATTTAAAGTTCAAAAATTGACAAAATATGGAAAAATCATAAAAATTAGCAAATTATTTTGAGTTAAGAATTCGTAAAAATTTTTCTTTTTAAATCTAAGATTTTAAAATGTAATTTTAAGATTCCTTATAAGATTATCTAAATTTATCAAAAAAAAAAATGTCTATAAGAAAGTCAAATTAAATTTTTATGAGAGTTTGAAATTCAAATTTTTACAACATTGGATATTCACTCGATTTCTCATGTAGCGATTTCCTTATTTTGTTGTAATTCAAAAACGAATAACTGTAGGTACATGAAAATTTCACTGAATATTTATATTACCATTTCCTATACACCGTACAATTTCGAAAATATTTTGACTCTTTTTGAGCTGTTTACGGACATTTTCTGTTACCAATTTTTTTAGTTTTTTATTCTATAAATATCAATAAAGTTTCATCTGTTGGGCCAAAAAGTATAAAAATTTAATACAAGGCTCCTGATATATTATTACAATATCAGTTGAAAAATATTAAAAAATATTATAAGCATTTAAAGATCGAATTTGACAAAATTTATCAAATTTAAAATTTAATAATTATTTTGTAGTTAAAAATATATAAAATGTTCAACTTCTATATCTAAGGATTGGAAATTTAAAACAATATTCCACGTATGTAGTTAATTCTGTTACCAAAAAATCTAAAAAATACATAAGCACAGTTTATTTTTATAGTCATTTTAAGTTCAACTTTGGACAAAATTACATAAAAAAAAACCTAGAATAACTATTTTAGTTATTTTGTTGTGATTGTGTGATATTATTTGTGGGTACTTGAAACTTCTAAAGTACACTATTAAGTATCTATGTAGTATGGACTATGTTGATAGTATCAGGGTTTGTTGTGGACGTATAACACATTATAAGTACCTAATGGATATTGTGATATGATTAATTTGGAATTTATTATAGGTACCTATTTTAGGTAGTTTTTTTTAATACGATAGATAAGTATATAATACGTCTTATACCTAGACTGACATACCGTCTCCGCTCAGAATCGTTTTTCTTATACAATGATATTATATCATTGAATTCAAATTTAATTCTATCCAATTTACAGTGTCCCACTCTAACCTACTGTACAGCAGAGCACCTTTTTCATTCTGACTTTGAAAAAGCTGCACATTTAGCTACAACTCAAAGGCAATATTACAAAATATTGATATCATCGATCATAATATGGTTACAAATAATATTGATAATAGCATAGATACATAAAAACCTCTTATGATACCGCGTTACCGTTTGCCGCCGACCGCTCGACCGCTCGACTGTCCATACGAGTATACGACCATCACCTTGCAAACGCCTGTCCGCCCGTTCGAATCCCGCAATCCACGATGTTGGTCGATGGCTGAACCTCATTAATTATGCATGTGATACGATGTCTCCTCGTTCAAATGACACCTGGTACCTACAGACCAGAAAGTCCGACGCACGTTCGGTCACCTGCTCGCACTCACAATAATATATGACACTACAGAGTACAGAATAGATGCACTCTGGTATTGATATTCCGTAAGCTACGCCTTAATATATTGGGTTCCGCAGCAATAACAAACACGGTGAGTTTGGAACGAATCGCGTAACACGAATTTGATGATTAATTAATAGATCACAGTGAGCGTACCCCGGCGGTAAGCCTTTGTTGCCGGTGGTGGGAAGGGAAGCTGGTTAGCCTTAGAAGGCGGCGGGGCTTGGGGTCTAATAGGCGTTTCTATGCCTTATCGCCGCCGGAGTCGGCACCGAACATTTTTAATATATAAATAATAATATAGGTACTCTTATATACTCAAATAAATGTATACAATGAATGTACCAGATACGGACATATTTGGGTGTGAAAAATCAATCGCAAATAAAATATATCACGGAATATAAAATAATATAATGTAACTAACGTTTCTGAACGATATTATAATATCATTGTTTAGAAAACAATACATCTCGTCATCTCCACAATAAGCCATTAACATTCCTAGCCGTCTGCGCTTTGAAACATATCCATATTTTTGCGTAAAGAAGTAATACGATAGGAAAAGGTTACACAACACTAAAGACTTTTATAATTTTCTATAGTAAAAACATTCTTCGTTTCAATACTATTTAGTGTTTATAACAAAAATTCGGTTCATGATTTACATGCATCTTAAAGACAATAATTACTTCACTATAAACAAAATTATTGTTCTCTGATACAATCTAAACAGTTAAATGTTCAGTTGGTTTTCCTATGACCTAGTTTGAAAATTAAAAGTGATAGGTATATGTAAAAAAATATTCGGAATCTTATGACCTATAGCTAACTTTATTTTTAATTTATAAAATATAATTTAATGTTTAAACATAATTATAACAAATATACTGGCTTGAAAATCGTGAATTATCTATAATATATTATAATCATATGCGTAAACGAAACATTAATACATTGTTTAGGTACTAAGTAGTTACCACGCATTCAGTATCGTCTTTAAAAATGTAAACAATAGTTGATTTATCAATATCAAACCATAATCTTACCGTGTTTGTCATTCTATAATTATTGTATTATTCATCGGAATCGTATAAAGTACGTGTGACGTACTTGGTGGCTAAATGGAAGTTAATAAAACAAGCTCAATCCTCGGTGGCCAGAGAACGGGAAAAGGTAATAAAATAAAGTACCAGTGCAATGTGTGCAATAAGCAGTTTACATTAAAAAGCAGAATGAAATATCACCTTCGGACCCACACTGGAGAGAAACCGTACCATTGTGACGCGTGCGACAAATCGTTTACCCAAAGTAGTGATCTGACGGTACACCGGAGAATTCACACAGGAGAGAAACCGTACCAGTGTGACGCGTGCGACAAATCGTTCACCCAAAGTAACCATCTGGCGGGACACTGGAAAATTCACACAGGGGAGAAACCGTACCAGTGTGACGCGTGCGACAAATCGTTCATCCAAAGTAGTGCTCTGACGGTGCACCGACGAACTCATACAGGGGAGAAACCGTACCATTGTGACGTGTGCGACAAATCGTTCACCCAAAGTAGCGCTCTGGCGGTGCACCGGCGAAGTCATACAGGGGAGAAACCGTACCATTGTGACGTGTGCGACAAATCGTTCACCCAAAGTAACCATCTGGCGGGACACTGGAAAATTCACACAGGGGAGAGACCGTACAATTGTGACGTGTGCGAGATGTCGTTCACCCATAGTCACTCACTGACGGTACACCGGAGAATTCACACAGGGGAGAAACCGTACCAGTGTGACGCGTGCGACAAATCGTTCATCCAAAGTAGTGCTCTGACGGTGCACCGACGAAGTCATACAGGAGAGAAACCGTACCATTGTGACGTGTGCGACAAATCGTTCACCCAAAGTAGCGCTCTGGCGGTGCACCGGCGAAGTCATACAGGGGAGAAACCGTACCATTGTGACGTGTGCGACAAATCGTTCACCCAAAGTAACCATCTGGCGGCACACCAGAAAATTCACATAGGGGAGAAACCGTACCAATGTGACGCGTGTGACAAATCGTTCATCCAAAGTAGTACTCTAACAGTGCACCGACGAAGTCATACAGGGGAGAAACCGTACCATTGTGACGTGTGCGACAAATCGTTCACCCAAAGTAGCGCTCTGGCGGTGCACCGGCGAAGTCATACAGGGGAGAAACCGTACCATTGTGACGTGTGCGACAAATCGTTCACCCAAAGTAACCATCTGGCGGGACACTGGAAAATTCACACAGGGGAGAAACCGTACCATTGTGACGTGTGTGGGATGTCGTTCACCCATAGTCACTCACTGACGGTACACCGGAGAATTCACACAGGGGAGAAACCGTACCAGTGTGACGTGTGCGACAAATCGTTCACCCAAAGTAGCGCTCTGGCGGTGCACCGGCGAAGTCATACAGGGGAGAAACCGTACCATTGTGACGTGTGCGACAAATCGTTCACCCAAAGTAGCGCTCTGGCGGTGCACCGGAGAAGTCATACAGGGGAGAAACCGTACCATTGTGACGTGTGCGACAAATCGTTCACCCAAAGTAACCATCTGGCGGGACACTGGAAAATTCACACAGGGGAGAAACCGTACCATTGTGACGTGTGTGGGATGTCGTTCACCCATAGTCACTCACTGACGGTACACCGGAGAATTCACACAGGGGAGAAACCGTACCAGTGTGACGTGTGCGACAAATCGTTCACCCAAAGTAGCACTCTAGCGGTACACCGGAGAATTCACACAGGGGAGAAACCGTACCATTGTGACGTGTGCGAGATGTCGTTCAACCAAAGTAGTGGTCTGACGGTACACCGGCGAGTTCACAAGGGAGAGAAACCGTACCAATGTGAAAGGTGTGGCTTGTGTTTCACTACTGGGATCGATCTTAAGAAGCACTGGTGGACGCATGTAGAAAATATAGAGTGAAAAAACCCTTATAATTAAGAAAAATATTTATGCTGCTAAGCTTGAAGATGAATATTGTTGTACCTGCAAGAGCGGCCGTTTTTCATAGTCATGTAGCACCCCTAGAAAAACGGCACGATATATACAGATTTATTAAAATGATACTTCCGCTGTTAAAATTATTACCATAATCATATATTTCTAGTCCGAATAGTCCGATTAATATTGTAACTTGATAGGCAGTGAATATGACAGCAATAAATACTTGAACAAATAATAAATAAATAATATCTTGTTTTCAATTATTTTAGATTCTGAGGTGAGCGATGAATGTTTTGGATTTACTGTGAAGTGTCTTTTTTTATTTTTGTGTCTGAAATTACCTTTTACAGTACTACCTAGTAAATGTGCTGCTATATTTTATTTTATGAGTGGTTTCTCTTTCAGTTGGATCTAGTTTGAACTTTGAAGGGATAAGAGTAAAAAATAACCGAAGAAACTTTGAAGGGATAAAAGTAAAAAAATATCCAAAGAAATCACTTTGCGATATAGTAGGTACTGTTTAGTGTAACTCATCATTGAGTAGATCGCAATAATTAATCTGAATTAAATGATAAATCATTTAAAATATGATACTTATTTCATAATATCATAATTAATATAAAAGATCGTCACCTATTTTTTGTTTGAATATCCAAATTTTTCAAAATAAGATCTTTAATTGCTACAAAAAAATCAGAGTTTTTGGTTCCAGTAGACACTACTAACACTTAAGTTCAAAAATGTTATCGTTATTTATTGTTTAAGGAAATATTGAATGTTTTTGACAAAAATTGATTTAATTAAAAAAAAAACATAATAATCAATGCAGAGTAGAGTAGAGTGAGAATCAGATAACAGTTTTTTATCTAGATAAGATAAAAAGATAAATATTTTTATCTAGATAACTTATCTAATAATGCACACCACTGCAAGTAGATTATTCTGAAACTAAAAAAACACATTTTTTTAAAAATTATTTTAGGTTCAATTTTGGACGAAATTACAGATTTAAAGGTATACTTGAAAGTTCTAAAGTATGTTATAACATGCGAGTATGACGATAAACAAATAATGGTTATTTAACTTAACCGGCTACCTACCGTATTAATAGTAACAATAATTTAAATATAATATAAAATATCCCAGGCTGGCGAAGCGACTCCGCTTAGAATCGTTTTTCGTTTACAATAATAATATTATATCATTGAATTCAAATTTAACACAATCGATTACAGTCACCCACTTGAAACCATTAAACAATACTATACAGCAGAGCGACATCCATTTACCAGCTTTTTTTTTTACTGTTGAATTGCGATGGACAAAGATTCACCAAATTCGGTTAGAAAACAAAAAGCTCTAGCCAGTCAAAAGATATATCCATGTTAAAAATAATTAAAATAAAATCTCTAATCACTAACCTTCAATTATTATCACATTGTAATTTAAGAATTACCTATATAGACGTAAGATGTATCATACGTCTAGGTAACATTATATATAATATAGTTAAACATTAAAGTAAATGTTGTAACGATTATTTATAAAACTGTTTCCTACCCAAATTGAGTTATTTTCTCAGTAAATAAAGGATAACTATTACTGTTATTATTGTGTGTTTCAAGTGAATTAAAATAAACGTGGTACCTGTTATAGGCATAAATATTTATTTACAGTTTATTTTTCATACTTAACCGTCTGGCAGATAGGTGGAGTAGGTCAAAACAACCACTATATTATTACTTCACCAGAATCACTGTGGGTATCTGAAAGAAAGTAAAATGAGACATTATATAATTTTCAATAAACCTTATGGTTGGTACATTTGGTAAGCGATTCAAACTTTCTGCGAGGAAAAAAATTGTTGATCAAAAATTATGTAAGTAAATAATATTTGATAGTACATATTTGAAATATTTTTTGAATATATTTGTATTTGTATTTAAATGCTTGATAGAAAAGGTGTTTAAATACTTTTTAGTCGAAGAATTATGAAATACCTATTCGAAATATTCCCAAAAAGTATTTTTAACAAGAAGTATGATTTTAGGTTATCATAGAAAACTTAACACCCTAGTATCGAATTTTTAAAACTTTTTCAAAATAAATGTACAGTTTTTTGGATTACAGTATATAATATTTTGTTATTAACATAGAGCCATATAAAATGGCATTAAAATGGTATTAAAACCTAAATCTGCAGGTTTTGTTCGATAATAATTTAAAATGGCATAAACAAAACAGTTTGTACCTCCATATCTCCCGCACTACCACTTTCGAATTTTATCACCAAACCTTGACAGTGTTATGAACTTTTTTCAGGGCTTAAATTAAAAATAAATATATCGTTTTTACGTTTTGGGATATTTAAACGTTGTGCAATTTTAATGTTTATCGTTATTGTACTTTCAAGGGTTATTAAATTTTTTCCGCTCATCGTTTTTATATTTTTAAGCGTTACTTTAATTTTTTATTTTCTATTTAACGTTTGATGTTAATTTTTTTTTTTATATAAATTATACTGTTAATTTTGGTATAGATTGGTAATTAACCAAACTTTTTGGTTCATAATTTATTATATTTGAGTCTGCTATGGCACATGTTTTGTATCACTTGCGTCTTGCGTCCAGACGTGTGTTTGTTACTTTATTTAATAAATCTATATTCAAACTCTACAAGTACGAGGCTACGGTTAACCGACTTGTAACACACGTATACAAAAAAAAATCTGGTAAGCTGTGGTTCATAGTAGGTAGTTTTCAAAATCGTCTAAACACAACCAATTTTTTGTAGTTAATTATTTTGATTGATATAAACTTAATAAATAATGAGTTACTTTTAATCAAATTCAAGTTAAGTTAATTTGTAAATAATTAAATAATAAATATAATAAAAATAAAAATTGTTATTGATACCTATTACACAACCATTTACTAGAATAGCGAATTACAAATATTATAGTTAAATTAATTTCTTTTTCCATTAACCGGAATTCTTCAATAAAAATAACTCGATTGAATACATATAGATATAGCAATAGTCAATTATATTATAACATATAGGTGTATCGTGTATATAAAGATATATCATGGCATATGGGCATATCGTAATAATAATACTTAATAAATATTAATAACTAAGGAGTAATATTATTTAATTTTATCGATATAGATACAAATCAAAAATGTACAATTCTCAAGAACATATTATTGTAAAATATTTTCGGCATAAATAGGTATTTTTAAATCAAAACTAATTGGGTTCTGCTCATGTATAGTTATATTTTAAATGTTAATATTTATAAACAGTCAATATTGTCAGTAGACAAAATAGTCATAGTCCACATGCCACATGGGTTCACTTTTCATTCTCGGCTCTCTCTGAACACAAGATTTACAATTTCAGTTTTTGTGTAACTATATGATGTGATTATCAGTGCCCAGTGAAATACGTTTATTTTTATTTTTTTGGATTAAATTATTAAATCATAGAATTTTTAATTCTCTCAATACATTCAGTCTACACTAACTGGAAGCTTGGTCCGTGTAATATGTAGATTGTATTTGTTTCGTCGCTTTCAATTTTTCGATTTTCGTACCCAGGCAACCGCCCCCCCCTTTTTCGATGGGTGGGGTCGTGGGGGTCCGTGGGTACTCCAACAAATTATTTATGAATTATGTTCCTAACTCCTAAGCTATTATAATGTATACATATGCAGGCTATGTAGCACATATTGTGTAAACAGGGGTGGTGGTCCGTATACCTTTTTACTTGCCCCCCCCCCTTTTGAAATATAGTTCGGCTCCACTGTTCGTACCTACTACATTATTCTATTAATTCAGTACCTATGCATAGAAAAGCTATTGGCTACTTCCTGTGCTCAATAATATTTATGATTTTTATTATTTTAAACCGTATTACTGAGTATTTATAGGCTCGCGATTTCTACTGGGCCAATAATAGACGAACAATAGATGATTAATGATAACCAAACAATATCAATAAGCCGAATTAACAGGTGGTGCAAACCACTCTTCCCCGCACTATGCATAATACCTTTCCATGGTGTATGACGGCTGAAATGCAAACAGCAATGTGTACACAAGTTTATTTTATTCGTACAAAACCGTACACAACAAAGTATGTACTTACGTATTCTAACACTTTCAGTGGGTTTGGCGAACTAAAATTCGAAAGTGGCAGTGCCGGCGCTAAACGGAGCCGCTACAGTTTTGTCTATATATATTTGAAATTGCAGCGATTCTACCGCTCAAACCTCTGCTCGTGTACTAATGTACCTACTCTCGAATAATAATAATAATACCCACATAATTATACGATTAGTCGGCGATGCGTATTACGGCAGTCTACCCGCCTACCGATCGGTCCCGAGTGGGAAATCTGAACGATTCGTGGTGATTTGTTGTGGGCGAACCAGCAGAGATGAGCAGCGCGTGTATCGTTTAAATGCACTTGTGCGGAGGGTCGGCGAATATAAATCGACGTCCTACGTGTGGTTAATGAAATTCCGCCGGGGGGGGGGGGGTTGCGAGGGCTTCATCAGGAGGGGAAAACGAGTCATTAGTGTGGCACTGCACCGCCGGCAAATCATTCGAATTCGAGCGACCGAAACGATTCGTTTGCTCGATCGTACGCCTATACAATGATATAATGTGCGTGTTATAATATAGGTATAGCCGGTAGGTCGGTTACCTACCCCGGGGGCACTTGGTCTGGTATATTATTATCGTTGTTGTTGTTGTTGTTTACATTGTTCGGCGCGTGGCTAATCGTTTTCGCGACTGGGTTTGTATGAAAATAAAAAATAAATGGAACAACCGTCGGTCTGAAACGTACTTACATATAGGTACCTAAATGCGACTATCGAAATTAATAATATATAACGAACACCGTTCGAACCGTGTCGTTCGTATTTACAGTACTTGTCGTTATGCATTTGATGACAGTGTCATGACACC